ACCAATTGCGCACAGCAGTGTCCCACCAACAGCCATGGAGTGAGCAATCAATCTTATTTTTAAAAGTGAGGATGAGGACCTTAAACTCGATCCAACAAAAGAATGGAAAGTAAAGTGCCAGCCACAAATCCATCTTTGCCAATCCTACGGGAACATTATTTAAATAAAACACAGTGAATTTGGTATTCAATTTGGCAGCAAATTGCAGAACTGCAAGCGTAAAAGTAGAATGCACAGTAAATTCCACTGAGAAATACATGTTTTATGCACATGAGGTACAGTACTGTGCAGTACAGTATATGAAAAGAATGGGCTCCCATAGCTTTAATAAGCATGGGTTAAACATGGTACAGAAACCTTGCTTAATGTCGCCAGCCAGTACAGTACTTGAGTGTTGGTTATGTGTAAGTTATATAAAAGTCAACTTCTACATAATTTTACATAAGTCATATATGGTATGACTTATGCAAGTTTGCCATAACCATAATGCATACTTTGTATAAGTCATATTAAATGTTATGGTCCTGACTGATGCAAGTTTTACTGTAATAATCACATTGTCAAGACATCTCAAAGCACTTTCCATGCTTTTACTGCAAAGTTTAGTGGCTGTACATTCGTAGACAAACAAGGCAGCCAATTTGTGCACAGCAGTGTCCCACAAATGGCCATTAAGTGAATGATCAATTGTATATTAACTCATACTTTGCATAAGTCAAATTAAATGTAGGTCCCAACTGATATGATTTATGTGGGGTTTACTGTAGTTTGCCCCTGTGGGTCCTGAACGTCAGAGCGGAGGGAAGGAGTTAATTATGTTGAATATTTGCAATTGCATTCCTTTGCCTGGTCCCAGCCTTGCAAACTGTGTGCCTCTGGGCTTCTAGTGTTGTGTCTCATCACCTCATGAGTGGAGAGTCTCACATATACTGACTGCAAAGAACAGCGAGGATCCAGCAGACCTCAAAGAAAGCACTTGTACGCGTCCAATCTGAGCTGGGTTTCAGGAGCCACGAGAATCACAGATGGGACCAGGGAATCCTCCCACTCAGCTCCTGTTAACCCTACAAGCCAAGGCCTAGGGTGGTCTTAGCTGAGCAGCGGGAAAGCTTGCCAGACAGGGCTCTCAAGGCACGCTAAGCGGTTTTAGCTGGTTAGACTCCAGCAGTTACCCCAAGCCTTGGCTCTTGCTAACCTGTGCCGAATACTTCCCGGAATTAGGTAAGTAGGATATGTCCCTCCAGGAAGAGAGTGCACATTCTATCTCTGGGATTTCCATGTGTGGGTGGGGTGCATAGAATTATCAGTTTGGTTTGGATACTCTTAAGCATGATGATGGATTTCCACGTATGTCAGACACCCGGCTGAACAAAAAAACTGACAGCAGGAGGAACTGCAACAAGCATTATCCATTATCCTGCATATTTGGTAATAGTACCTTCCATGTCGGGGCGGGGAAAGGGGGGGGCGAATGTCCCAATATCCACTTGTATCTTTCAGCAAAGCCACATAAAGGTGTTTGAGAATGGCATAGTATTTATTCCTAAACCATGCGTTTATTTTAGAAAAGTTCCCTTCCCCCATAAAAATGCATTCTTTCCTATTTTACTTTCATTCCAAATTCGCCCCTAACCCCCACTTATCCTCGCAAAGGTGGGCTTCACAATTCTTGCATCTTTTCTTTTAATGTTTTTTTTTTGCATTGTGTAATGTCCCCAAACAAGTCTGTCTCATCCCGGAGAATGATTCGCAAGCTCCAACTTCCAACGATGCCCGGTTATTTCAGTTCCCAGTGAGAGACATTGATGGCATGAACTGTATACATCAGTCTGTACATGTCAGCATCAGGCTCCGCCACTGTTAAGGGTGTTGAGACACTGCCCCGTGTGAAGGCTGCAATATAAATGCAAGTTGTTATTGTTGTTGTATACAACGTATTGCATAACAGAAGAAAGAAGACAGGATACTGTAACAAACAACTCTGTATTTCTCTCCCCATGTAGAATATTTTTCTCCCTATATAGTATTTTCCATTCCCCCCTTTCCCCATGTGGTATTTTTCTCTCTATCTCTCTCGCTTCCCCGTATACAATTTTGAATACAGTCAATACACTTTACAGTATATCCTGTGAGGCGCTTTGAGACATCTCAGCGATGTGATACGGCGCTATATCGAATGCCAGGATTATTATTATATCAGCATTATTTTTCTTCTCATTTTAGGATTTCTCTCTTCCCCCATATAGGATTTTTTACACATAGTGACGCTGTGTGTGTGTGTGTGGGAGGAGAGTGTGTGTGTGTGTGTGGGGGGGAGAGTGTGTGTGTATATGTGTGTGGGGGGGAGAGTGTGTGTGTATGTTTGTGTGTGGGTGGGGGGGGAGTGTGTGTGTATGTGTGGGGGGGAAGAGTGTGTATGTGTGTGTGGGGGAGTGTGTATATGTGTGTGTGTTTGGGAGGGGGAGTGTGTATATGTGTGTGTGTTTGGGAGGGGGAGTGTGTATATGTGTGGTGGGGAGGGGGAGTGTGTATATGTGTGTGTGGGGAGGGGGTGTGTGTATATGTGTGGGGAGGGGGAGTGTGTATATGTGTGGGGAGAGGAAGTGTGTATATGTGGTGGGTGAGGTGGAGGGGGAGTGTGTGTGTGTGTGTGGGGAAGGGGTGTGTGTGAGGAGGGGGAGTGTGTGTGTATGGGGAGTGTGTATATGTGTGGGGAGGGGGAGTGTGTATGTGTGGTGGGTGAGGTGGAGTGTGTGTGTGTGTGGTGGGTGAGGTGGAGGGGGAGTGTGTGTGTGTGTGTGTGGTGGGTGAGGTGGAGTGTGTGTGTGTGTGTGTGTGGAGTGTGTGTGTGGGAGGGGGGGGTGTGTGTGTGTGTGGGGAGGAGTGTGTGTGTGTGGGGAGGGGGAGTGTGTGTGTGGAGGGTGTGTGTGGTGGGTGAGGTGGAGGGGAGTGTGTGTGTGTGGTGGGTGAGTGGAGGGGGAGTGTGTGTGTGTGGTGTGAGTGGAGGGGGAGTGTGTGTGTGGGTGAGGTGGAGGGGGAGTGTGTGTGTGGGTGAGGTGGAGGGGGAGTGTGTGTGTGGGTGAGGTGGAGGGTGTGTGTGTGTGTGGGGAGGGTGTGTGTGTGGGGGTGAGGTGGAGGGTGTGTGTGTGTGGGTGAGGTGTGGGGGTGTGTGTGTGTGAGGTGTGGGGGAGTGTGTGTGTGGGTGAGGTGTGGGGGAGTGTGTGTGTGGGTGAGGTGGAGTGTGTGTGTGGGTGAGGTGGAGGGTGTGTGTGGGTGAGGTGTGGGGGAGTGTGTGTGTGGGTGAGGTGGAGGGTGTGTGGGTGAGGTGGAGGGGGAGTGTGTGTGTGGGTGAGGTGGAGGGTGTGTGTGTGTGGGGGGGAGTGTGTGTGTGTGTGTTTGGGAGGGGGAGTGTATATATGTGTGGTGGGGAGGGGGAGTGTATATATGTGTGTGTGGGGAGGGGGTGTGTGTATATGTGTGGGGAGGGGGAGTGTGTATATGTGTGGGGAGAGGAAGTGTGTATATGTGGTGGGTGAGGTGGAGGGGGAGTGTGTGTGTGTGTGGGGAAGGGGTGTGTGTGGGGAGGGGGAGTGTGTGTGTATGGGGAGTGTGTATATGTGTGGGGAGGGGGAGTGTGTATGTGTGGTGGGTGAGGTGGAGTGTGTGTGTGGTGGGTGAGGTGGAGTGTGTGTGTGTGTGTGTGGTGAGTGAGGTGGAGTGTGTGTGTGGGAGTGGTGTGTGGAGGGGGGGGGGAGTGTGTGTGTGTGTGGGGAGGGTGTGTGTGTGGGGAGGGGGAGTGTGTGTGTGGAGGGTGTGTGTGGTGGGTGAGGTGGAGGGGGAGTGTGTGTGTGTGGTGGGTGAGGTGGAGGGGGAGTGTGTGTGTGGGTGAGGTGGAGGGGGAGTGTGTGTGTGGGTGAGGTGGAGGGGGAGTGTGTGTGTGGGTGAGGTGGAGGGGAGTGTGTGTGTGGGTGAGGTGGAGGGTGTGTGTGTGTGTGGGGAGGGTGTGTGTGGTGGGGGTGAGGTGTGGGGGAGTGTGTGTGTGAGGTGTGGGGGAGTGTGTGTGTGGGTGAGGTGTGGGGGAGTGTGTGTGTGGGTGAGGTGGAGGGTGTGTGTGTGTGGGGTGTGTGTGTGTGGGTGAGGTGTGGGAGAGTGTGTGTGTGTGTGTGTGTGAGGTGTGGGGGAGTGTGTGTGTGGGTGAGGTGGAGTGTGTGTGTGGGTGAGGTGGAGGGTGTGTGTGTGTGTGTGGGTGAGGTGGAGGGTGTGTGTGTGTGGGTGAGGTGGAGGGTGTGTGTGGGTGAGGTGTGGGGGAGTGTGTGTGTGGGCGAGGTGGAGGGTGTGTGTGAGGTGGAGGGTGTGTGTGGGTGAGGTGGGGGAGTGTGTGGGGGTGAGGTGGAGGGGATGTGTGTGTGTGTGAGGGGAGTGTGTGTGTGGGTGAGGTGGAGGGTGTGTGTGTGTGAGGTGTGGGGGAGTGTGTGTGGGTGAGGTGGAGGGGGAGTGTGTGTGTGTGTGGGTGAGGTGGAGGGTGTGTGTGGGGGAGTGTGTGTGTGGGCGAGGTGGAGGGTGTGTGTGGGTGAGGTGGAGGGTGTGTGTGTGTGGGGGTGAGGTGGAGGGTGTGTGTGTGTGGGTGAGGTGGAGGGTGTGTACGTGTGTGGGGGAGTGTGTGTGGGTGAGGTGGAGGGTGTGTGTGTGGGTGAGGTGGAGGGTGTGTGTGTGGGGGGGGGAGTGTGTGTGTGTGTGTGTGGGTGAGGTGGAGGGTGTGTGTGTGTGGGGGGGAGTGTGTGTGTTGTGGGAGGTGGAGGGGTGTGTGTGTGTG